AAATTACTTTCTCTCTGTTCCTGTCAGATTCCCATCTCTTCCTCCTCTTCCTACATTCCTGTCTTGTTTCATTCAGTGCAGAGAGATGATGTAGGAGAAGGGAGTGCCCCATCACAGAATCCCACTGAAGGATCTCAAAGCCCATCCCAGATTGCTCYGAGCCYTGTCCAACCTGGTCTTGGAAYTTCCAGGGATGGGGCAGCCTCAGCTTTTCTCAGCAGCTTGTGCCAGGCCCCACCCTCACCTTTCTTGTCTATAATTTAGGCTCAGTCTGGGGGGGTCAGTGTCATAAATCTCTCATTTTTTTAAAGGTTAATTTAGGGCAGAATTGTCCCACCAATTCCTGGAATGGTATTTCTAATTATATTTTTTTTTTCTAAAAGAACTTCATGGAGACATTGCCCCAATACCAAAATGCTTTCTCTGTTTATTTTTAATTGACAGCAAATCCAGTTCCCCAACTTAAAATGGGTGTTTGAACTTGTTGCTATTGGAGAGAAGGGAAAAAAATAGTCAAAACACTCCTTGAGATTAAAAAGAAAATAAAAAACAATAAAGTCAAAACAATCCCCAAGATTAAAACACAAAATAAATGTCGGGAAGAGAAGTAGTGATCCCTTGCCAGGAGAGGATTTCAAGCTTGTTTTACAGCTTTAATGAATGGTTTGAAAACCATTTGAGATGAACCTTTTTCCCTTCRCTCCTGTGACAAAACTTTTAAGAGCTGTAGCCAGAGAGAGAAAAAAATAAATGCAGCTTTCATTTCCCTCTTTGGTTTGCTAATATTAAAGCTCAGAATATTTGGGTGTTGGCTCCAGGAGGAGGARGAAAGGAGCTTGCCCTTGTTCTGGATGAGGCAGGACCATCTCCCTTTCTTCTCTCCATTATTCAGGCCACTAAAAGTCAATTATTCCTCTGAAATGAGGCAGTCGCCTCCCTCTTCCTCAGCAGTGAACAGGGAGAGTCACCCTCGGTAATAATCGGAATATTCCAGGCTCCTGTCTGAGCTCAGCCTTGCAGGGACAGCCCAGGCTCGAGTCCTCTCCCACCTGGGGCTGCCTCGGTGTCTGATTTTACTCTCAAAGGGGAGAGCTCTGGAAATCCCAAGGATTGCCAAATTCCTGCCCCTCTGAGCTGGGAATGCCATGCCAAGSCAGCTCCTGTTTTCCCAGATGGATGAGCAATGGGTCAGGTCAGCCCCTGTCYCCAAACAAGGCTTTCTCACCCTCTTCTTCCTCAAGAAACCATCTTTTTTTTTTTTTTTAGCAAAACCGGACAGAAAGTGGGCTCCATCCCAGGTATGGATTGTGAAGGGATGGCCTGGCCTCCTGACAGACACCAGATCCAGTTTTGGAGCCACAGTGGTTCCTGGACACTTGGAGTGACATCCGGACACCCCACAGGGAATATTTACACAATTCATCTCTTTTCTGATGTCAAGGAACTTCTATTTCCAAATTCCTTTTGCAAATGGTGAATGAATCAAGCCCAGGTGCAGAATTCCCCACCSAGGTGGGCTCCATCCCATCCATTTGGAGCCAATTAAAAATGAAACAGCTGAACTGGGATTCCTCATTGGAGAGAGGGCACAGGTGGAGAACGAGCRTCCACCTCACCCCACMAGGGTCTGACACCCTGGGAAATGACTTTGGGAAATGATTTTGACTTYGGGAAAYRATTTTGAGAARTGATTTTGTGGGTGATGATTTTCTAGGAGAGGATTTTCTGGGAGAGGWTTTTCTRGGAGAKGATTTTGGGAAATKATTTTGGGAAATGATTCTCTGGGAGAATCATTCATCCTGGCCAGAGCTGGATGAAGCATTTTCCACTCTCAGCATAGAAATKACATCCCCTGCCCTTGCCCAAAGGYGCTGATCTTCTTTCCCGTGCCACCCTTTAATTGTCCCTTTTTTTTTTCAGGCTGCAATTAGAGTTTTGCCCTGTGAGAGTGGGGAGATTACTGGGGCTGCATGACCTGTAATTGTCCCAGGGCTGGAGACAGGAAGACATTCCCTGTGATAATAAMGTCTGCGAGTCCGGCGGGGAGAGGCAGGGAGGATTCCTGGAAATTTGCAGGCGCCTGGCATGGGATATTAATCTTTTTTTGGGTTAAACCCCCTGCMYGGGGCTGCCTCCAGATCCCATGGGTGCAGATGGCCTCGAGCTCCACGCATTTCATGGTCAATTAGACATCTGTGTTTGGCCAGATGAATCAGCCCATGGAAATGTCATTTTTGCCATGAAATAAACCCTCAACAGCCCTGCTGAGCTCAACATGGGAGACACCAAAACCAGGGCAGGGTCAATCCCATTACAGCCAGSAGATCCCATTGCCTTTTAAATCACACAGGTCAAATGACACTGTGTCATCCCCAAAGCCACTAAAGCAAAGTTGTCACATCTGAAACACAACTCTGGTCCCACAGCTCTGATCACCCGACCCACGAGCCCAGAAGGGCAGCGTTGAATTCATCTTCATTCAACTGCTCTGACGTGGAAAATAAATTGTTTGGAGGCTGCAACAGGATGGAAAACATCACTGTGTGGTGCTCAGGATGACTTTGGATGTTTCTGGAAATCTTTGGCACTGATTGTTAATTGGTCTATGAAATATCTTACAGGTGATGTGCTATGGGGAGATAAATAAACCAGAATAAACTCCAGTGGCAACTGAGCCCCACAGTGTCCCAAGCTGCCAACAGAGCACCCAAAGGTCTCTTTGGCTCTCACCTCTCCACAGAGCATTTTTTCACCTATTTTCAGTTTCTTTAAGTACCATCTATGGAAAAACTGAGAGACAAAAGATGTCCTTTCAAAGCAGTTTATTGAGGACGCAGTGAAAAGCTGGGAAGTTTGAGCAGTCAGTGGGAACAGCTCCATTCACGCTGTRCAAAGTGTCAGCGTGGATGATTTATGCACCAGTAACTTCCCTTGGCATTTTGGGGGGATGGAAAAGGAGAGGGGGTGATCTTTTCTAAAAATCAGCACGCCTTGAACCAGCCACCCCAACATGCAGAAGCAAACAGAAGTACTACGTGTTCATCCGTGAGGAAATTACACACACACACAAAAAAATAATAAAAGAAAAAGAAAAATCTGATGGCTACAGAGTAACCAGCAGGTGCTTTGAAAATTGCCTTGTTTCAGATCTAAGCATAAATTTGCAGCTCAGGGTTTTCTTGGAGCAAAAGAAGATAGGATAAAAAATAAAGGGAGCCTGCTCTTTGCAACGCCTCCTGGAAAAGTTACACGGTTAAATTCTCACTCTCTTTTCTGAAATGCTTTGGGAAGAGCAGGARGAAAAAAGAGGGGTCATGGAGAGGGGGAATATTGTTAATTAATCTGCTTGTTATGGGAAAAGACAGAGGGGGAAGCAGGGGAACAGGCAAACCCTTAAAGCTGTGATAACCTAAAGTGCGAACTCAGAAATCACACTGCGCTGAACACCTGCGGGAGAAGTTTCTAGAGGCTTGGAAGCTCTGAAAACACAACTGGGGCGGGGTGGGGGATAAATCTGGGGCTAATAAATGTGGGAAGGGGTTTGGTGCTGAACGTTGCTACTCAGAGGAACCACTGTGCATCCTCTGGGTGTGGGGCCGGCGCGTCCGAGCGCCGCTGTCCGGGGGTTCCTACAGAACCTACGGGACCACGCAGGGGTCTCTGACCACCCCAAAATTCCCCACCACGCCATTATTGCACCCCACAACCTCAGGGCCGCTGGACACAACAACAGGGGGCCCTCCCAGCTGCCGGATGACACAACCCTGGTTGCCAAARGTGATCACCCCTCCGGGCTGGCACTGCCCCATCCTGGCGTTCACAGCCCCGCTGGCCGCGCTGACCACCGTGCGGGCAGCCGGGTAGCCACCGCTGCGGGAGCTGAACCCGCCGGCTTTGCAGCTGACCCCTCCAGGCTGGCAAAACACCTCGGGGATGCACTGCTTGGCCACGGCGCTGAGCACTCTTTTGGGGTGGATTCCGGCGCTCCGGGAGCTGAAGCCGCCGCTCTGAGCGCTGTGCCTGCCCGCCCGCCTGCCCAGCGAGCCGTAGCCACAAGCGGCCCCGTTGCTCGCCAGCATCCCGCAAT